ACGAGAGTCGAAGACCGCACGAGAAATGGTGCGAGTAAAAGGGCGGGGAGGGGGTGAGAGAAAGGAAGGAAATCTTCTCCTTCCTTCCCCTCCCCCTCCCCTCTCCCCTCTTTCATTTTTTGGCTCTCATTCAAATTTTTCGCGAGGCCAAAACCAAAAATTCAGTTCCTCAGTCTTTCTTTGCTCCTAAATCAAGCGGAAACGCTTTACATTTAAAACAATAATTAATTGGCTAAACTCAATCTTTTTAAGCTATTCTTATGTACTTGGTAGGAAGAAGTTAGGAAGGGTGAAATAATTAAATTAAAAGAGTTTTTGATATATTGATAATGATGTCTTTCATAATAAGATGAATAACTATGAAAATATGATAAACGCTTTTTTAATAGTGCTGCCCTCACCTACGGTAATAGTGTATTTGTGAGTTTCATCACCGTAGGCAAAACAATGAGCTGCAGTAACGATCCACTCAGGGGTAATAATAGAACCTCCACACCAATGAGGGGATGGTTCTCCTGTATAATCCATTGTTACTTGCCACGGCCATGATCCTGGTTGAGCGTTTATTCCTCCCACTATTCTGCTATGCACGGCTTTTTTTCCACACTCCACGCTTCCTGTTTAAAGAAAAGAGTGACTTCGCGTATTCGCCACTAATTTTCAGATCAGGCCCCACTATTGTTCAAACGATGGATAATGCTATCCATGGGATAAATCTCTATCCACTGGATGGTGCATATTGGTTTTGCTAATGCTTATCTGCTGGATAGTAATTTATCCCGTGGTAGCACTATCCATCTTTTCAACAACCGGGGCCATTAATACATTTAGTGTATCACCGATTTGAAACTGTAGATAACTCAACTGAAGATCTTTTAGAGATGTGCAAACAGTAAATATTTTCGATTTTTTCTTTTTAACTACGTTTTTAATTCGTTAGATTTGTGTAAGGGAAATAAATATTCAGTTTATTCTTATACTTAATATTTATTTTTAGTTTGTGACGTAGAACCTGAAGAACTGACGACGCAGTAATTAGAGTCCTGCCTTATCTTATTATAGTAAAACCTGATAATATTAGAGTGTTATTATATGGCTACAATAGAACGCGATCTGACTATTGGCTGTTTTTTTGTAATGAATGCGCATTACTAACTAGGTGTCCAAGGCATATTCAATCAGTGTTTAACTTGATAGTGGGCACCCTCACATGATTCTTCATTAAATCCCCTGAAGAAGGACGGCTTGCTCAAACCTCGGCCTTAGGCAAACAAGCTTTTCAGTAAGTTTTGAATATATGGGGAGGTTTAAGTACGTTTTACCATTGTTCCTTTCCATGTCATAAAGAACTGACATGTAATGATAGAATTATCTGAGGCTTTAAGGTTGTTTACCGTATACACGGGCAAACTGCTCAGTTACCATGATTTGGTCAAATGGTGAGTGAAATTCATAACTGGTCAATTTTGCCGCGAATCGCGTTTACCATTTTCACAAATCACGGTTCCATTTACCGAAAAACGACTGCAAAGGGCTGAAAGTGGTATCAAAGATGGCTTTGAAGAAATGCAACACGAATTCTATCCGGAAAAAACAGGTCAAACAGGACTACCTTTTTCAGATGTTCCGTTACTCAGGGAAATTTTTCGCCGGAGCGACCCAGGAAGTCGTGTTTCATTTACTTCCCAACAGGATTATCAGGAAAATTTTTGTGAATGGTAAACAATCCAAGTGACATGACATAGTGTTATTACCGACCGATCATTACACGGTTAACTCAGTCATACAACTGCGTTAGCTCACCCTGATCAATGGGTCGTTCTGTTCTTGGAATTGTTGTTGGTGGCGGAGGTGTTGTTGGGACTGTAAAATAAATGAATAAATAAATAAATATAAAACCGAGAAAACAAACAATAGTTTTAAAGGTATACGTTGTTAAGTACTAAAATAACAGCATTTCCTCTGAATGTATTAATAACGGATCATTGACGTTTTTACCTTGACACACCCCACACGTCTTGGCACAGTAATGTTCCATTGAGCTTGCAATCAGAGGATCAGTGCATCTGTTCTTGATAGCATCACAATAGGAAACGCGGTCAATACATTCTAAACAAATAAAAGGTGGCACATTTTTGGTAGTTAATTGAGTCTTTAATCACCTGACTCAAACGCGCCTCGCCCTTGCGCCTTACCTTTTGGACAGAGATCACAACTCTTTTTGCAGTTGTCCTTGACCCAGTCTACGTAGTCAGGATGTTCACAGTAAGGCTTGTAAATTTCACAGTAAGCATAAGTATCCACGCAAGGAGCTACAAATGAGAAGAGATTTCATTGTTAATAAAGCCGGACAGGAGCTCATAAGCTGGAGTGAGCAACTTCCATGTACCCGTGTCACGACGTTTTCACAGACCAGTTTTACTTTTAGAACGATTTTGGCCCAAATCTTAAATATCTTCAAAGTCCGCAAACACCACAGTCGGCAAAACTGACTTTATGATTCCTAGATTTAACAAGATAACTTTTGGTAAACATTCTATAAAATATCTTGGTCCGTATCTTTGGCATAAATTACCAATAGCCTTAAGAACGTTAACCGAAATTGATAAATTTAAAAGAAAAATTAGAAAAAATAAAACCTAGCTATGTTAACCACGCTGTACTGCCGTATATCTGCAGGCTCAAACGAACTCTAATGACCCCAAAAGCATCAGGCCAGTTTAAATAAACGCCACGAGTTTTTAAATTACTGTTTGTATTGTTCTTGGATCTTACAAGGCCGGCTAGTTAATTGCATTTGAAGAAAATGCCAGTTTGTTAACTCAGGTGATATTGCTTATGCCGAGCCGAGGGACTTTTAATCTTCAAATCTCAGTTCCTCTGGTTACTTCTCAAGGGATTTTATCAGGAGTACACTAACCTGATCGCTTGTGGAGTCTTGTGCCGTGCTCATTAAAGAGCTTTAAGATATCTGAAGAATACAAAGAAGAATCTTAGTTGCGAACGAACTTCTTTTGGACATTTTTTTTTATCTCTGGGTTTAGATTTAAGATCTACTCTCTAAGAAGGACTAAGAAAAATAAAATAAAATAAATAACGATTTGCAGGCAGCACATCCACATAGTGGTTCTTCGTCTACTTGATTCCTGGTCGAATTGGAATTTGGAAATACTGGTTTTTGAGGAGAGGGGAAAACCGGAGTACCTGGAGAAAAACCTCTCGGAGCAAGAGCAACAAAAGACCACTAATGGCCTCCAATCAGTACCAGGTAACTAAATGCGATATGCAGTCAGATACCTGAAAATTGGCAGCAATCTAGGGTGAAAGAGGATGCAATGAACGGGTTCTTTATTTCCGATATTGAAGCCGCTACATATTTTTTTTTTTTTTCACTGATCGAAAACGTACGAATGGCTTTACCCGCTCAGGGTCACAGAGTCGTTCAGAAGTAAACTAAAATGTATTTCTTTTAGTTGTTGATTACATTGTTTAGTTCAGTTCCCATTGGGACCATTAAATCCTTTAAAAACCACTCCTTGTGAATTTCACACCACTTGACCCCGACCAGTTTACTCCTCGGGCTGCTTTTTTCGTTTTCTTGTAAGGAGTTATAGGTTTTACCTACGTTTAATTTGTACTTGTATTTTCGCATCGCTGTGTTAAAATGATTTGACTCTGTTTTAGTTTGTTAATTTTTTTTTTCAGCATATCTTGTCAGCATTTATGATCTTCCCTTAATCTAGCCTTTCTTAGTGCTCTTTATTTCTATTTTATAATACATTCCTTGTTTTTGCTGTAACTATCACTGTTGTAATAAACTCGATTGCTGGCGGCTCTCTCCATTTATCAGTCTGTTGATTTGTCTCTTTATACTTATAACAGAAACATTTTCTGAGCGTAGAGATAGAGAATAAAACTAAATTTTTTCCAGCCATCCACACTCCATACGAAGACAAAGACTGAATACACGCAAGAAAGGGCGCTCTTTAAATGACTTCGTTGCAAGAATTTTTACAAGATCCTTTTTCTGATCTCTAATCAATAAAGACGCCTGCTTCTTCGACATAGCATACTTATCAGAACCATCAAGTATTAACCGTCATATGTAAAACATACCTTTGATTTCATTTTTCGGTTGTTGGTTATATTTTCCTTGGACCACTTGACTCCAGGAAAAGAGTAAAACCCCAGCTAAGAAAGTCACAAATAACATGTTAAACAAATGAATTTTGGCTCAGTAAATTTGCAACATTCACGAAGACCAGGGAATACATCCAGTTATTGCACGTAAGCCAGTTTTAATATCGTCTTACTCAGTGCAGGCGACAGCTATGTAAATAGCAAAGCTCCCCATACAATAAGTTGGTAGCAACTGCAAATTAAGGCAATTCAAACATTCCGAATGAACTGTCATTCACCGATTCAAGTAACATAACTTTCAAGAAATTTATGGTTTGGCTAATGTTAGTTTTTTGCTATTTACAAATGGGTTTTGGTTATTTTAGTTCAAGTACTTGGTTTTAGAAGATTTCAGCTGTTGTTATGTTTTCACAGTGTTGCTTGTAGACTCTGTTGCTCAATTCTGGGGCTAAATAGAGACCTTCCGTGCTAGCAAGAAACCGCATTTCTTTGCAAAATATATTATTTAACAATTTAAAATGTTTTCCTTAAATCCGTTTGAAAAGATACAACCCAGAAATTGTTCCCCAACTGTCTTTTTCATGGAAGAAAAAACTTGAAAGAATGCAGATTATCCTATCACTCAACTAAAAATGTTTACTAAATGTTTCAAGCAAGTAAATGTGTTGCTGTAAAGAATACACTAAAGCTGAAACCAATCACATTCAATGTTCTTGATAAATTTAATACCGAACGATCAGTTTTTATTTACCATCCAACCACACTGCCAAGGTCAATTAACAGTTTTTTGAAAAAGCTGGATCATCAGTTTAGTTTAAAATTAAAGTTCAATTTGAAAGGTTTCAGGTTGGTTTTGGGGTCGGTAGATGCACTAAAGAAAATAAAATTGATCTCAATACACTATAAAACCCCTCCCGAGGGAGTAAAATGTAAAACGCTAATATTACCAGTAAAAAACATTTTAGTTTCTAGGTCTTAGGATGAGCTTTAAATCTCTTTGGATGACATTTATAGCATTTTTCCTTCATACTCTTAGACCATCACAGTCCTTTTTTTCTTCGTTTCGTAGCCTATTCTGATCCTTGGTCGAACGCGTCAGGATTTCTTTGACTTAAACAAGGGTCAATAACTGAAGGAGCCAGTTTATGAAAACAAATGTGGACTTGCTTACAGTAAGAAGTTTTTGTCTAAGGTTTTGAAGTTTTTTCTAAGGTTATTGAAAACGTGGTAGCGTTGCGTTTGACGATTATTTGTGTGATGATGATCTCAATGAAAGTCATAGTTGTGACATAGTGCTTCTACGTGTTCAAAATGATATACTGAATCGATCGATAATGAACAATGCGTCGTTCTCTCGCTGCTGGACCTATCAGCCGCCTTCGACACTGTCGATTAAAAGGTCTTGTTATACAGACTGCGATCCAGGTTTGGTATAAAAGGAAAAGCGCTTGCGTGACTTCAGTACGGATCGTTCCCAGTTCAGTTCAGATTGATTTACTTCTTCAGTTCGTACGCTCAGATTTGGTGTACCCCAGGAATCCGTGTTGGGGCGTTCATATCTCTTATACACGACCCCACTGGGTGACCTAATACGATGGCATGATATGGAATTCCATCTATATGCTGATGATACTCAACTGTACACTTAACCTTCAGTTGTGATGATAGCGTTGATCTTACCACTGTACAATTTCCCGGATTGAGAGCTGCCTTGTCGATATCACTAACTGGATGACTACTAACAAACTGAAACTAAATACTGACAAAACGGAACTTCTCATTCTCTATTCTAGGTTGAGACTACCCCCGCGGCTTCCTTCTACTTGGGAAATGATATCATCAAGCCTACAAATAAGGCGCGTAATATCGGCGTCATTTTCGATAATACCCTAACGATATCTTTTCATATCAACAAAATAGTTAAAGGGGCATTCTACCATCTCAGAAATATAGCTAAGATTCGTAAGTATATCAATGTTAATTACAAACACTGATCATGGAGTTCTTGGGCACGCATTCATAAATTTTAAGCTGGATTTCTACATCTCCCTTTTACATCGTCTTCCCAAGAATGAGTTTAACAAACTGCAAAAAAGTGTCCAAAACGCTGAAGCGTGTGTGATCGCTTGCTTACGTAAGTTTGATCATATTAGACGCGATACTCTAAAGGAGCTGCACTGGCTACCAGTGGAGTAAAGAATAATCTTTAAGATTAATCTTATATGTTTTAAGATGCTCAACAATTAGCTCCTGGTTATTTGGTAGACCTACTCTATGTTTTTGAACCTACGAGGTGCCTTCGCTAATCTTCAGACAAGTGATGTCTTGTTATTAAACCCTATAACTTAAAGACATACGGTTTAAGGGCTTTTACAGTCTTGCATTGCCCCCATACACTGGAACGATCTGCCTATTGATATTAGATCGATCGATGATGTAAATAAATTTAAATCTATTTAAGCGAGTTTAAGAAGTTTCTTAGGTTTTAATTTTGCATTTTTGTGACCATGTAAGGATTATATGTAAATGATTCTAGGATTTTAATTTTTTATCCGGACATTTTCAAAGCATCGTAAAGCGCTTAGCATTGAAAAGTATAGGCGTTATATAAATATTTTATTATTATTTATTATTAGCTAAATGCGTTAACATCTTTGTCAACAATTTGTCTAGCTGTCGTTACACATCCTGTACAGTAAGTTATTAACATTACATGTTTTAAAATCATTTTTTCTGTGTCTTGAATTTTCTATATAAGTATTAAATTTGGCATACTTAAACTGCGCGAGGATTTATATTCGCGCGTCTCAATTTCGCGAATTTTTCAACAATTGGGCGAAATTAACTATCCATAAGGTGCATTTAAACCTTGTAACGCCCTGGTTTTTTACGATGAATGTTAGGTTGCGTCAGCCATACTTTCAAGATTGTTTCGGAATCTTCTACTCGCTATCAATAACATTGACGGCCGGTTTAGGGAAACCCTCTCATATATTTCAAATGAATGACAGTTTCATCACCTAGGCGTGGAATCAACACAAATTTTGCATGACTTTTGTTGGGGCAAACAAAGGATACGTGAAATCTGATGAAAGGCGAGATTTTCTCCATCCAGCATGCTTTTGCCGCCCCAATAGTTTGGCCCGTTTCAGATTTCCCTTTTTCCTTAATTATGACGTCATCAGACACGTGACTACAGTTATTAACGTAAACCAAAAGAAACATTTCTTTTACTATACTTGATCTCTTTTATCTTTTGGGATGGTGAAAATTAACATATGTTAAAAGTTCTATAACTTAGCAGTTTTGTAGTCTCTCAAATTAGCTGCTTTAGAGTTATTTTACTTGAAAATGATTATAAATAACTATATGTACATATGCAATCTATGAATTTCCGGTGGGCAGCATGTAACTTAGGCTCTGTCCACACTACTTTATGAATGGTTTACGTTGTTATCGAAAACGCATCGATCTAATCGTGTCCACACTACCGTTCATGATGCGTTTTCGACCGTCCACACTAAAACGTTCGAAAACGATAGAATTGCACGTTGTGACGTAAGTTGAACTCTGTGCGCATGCTCACACTAAAACGCGTTTTCAAATCGATGCGTTTTCGATATAAACGCGCTCAGCGTACTAGTGTGGACGGAATGCCTAAACGGATCGAAGCGTATGCCTTTTCAAACGAAAACGCGTTAGTGTGGGCAGAACCTTAGTCAATAGCTGTACCATTTGATATATATGAACGTGTTCAACTTATGAACGCAAAAGTACAGCGTTTGAAACAGTGGCTGACCAATGATAAGAACAAGGATAACCAACATCGCCTGAAAAGGATCCTGAATAATCCTGTTTACAAAGCTCGGTAACGTGGAGGTTTGATGAGTTCTTTTAGCAAAATAGTACACAGTAATAATTAAGACGTACAATAAAGTAAACAAATAGCTATAAACAAAATGCAAGAGTCTGATTGGGGTAAAACTTAATATAGCATCAGCGAGAAGAAAAACTGTGAGAGAAAGATACGTGGCGAGCACTTTCGCCTTGATATGATCCTCAAGAATAACATAGCATACGGTCACAACAAGAATACTGTTGCCAGCAATGCTTTGTAGGAGCCATAATGTTTTATGATAATAGGATAGCCTGTCTTCTTGCAATTCGACTGCATGGCCCTCCTCCCATGGCCAAAGAAATTCTTCATCACTTTCCGTTATTCTATCTTCTGCCCAGTATATCTTTTCGTACTGTTTAACGTGTTTTGTTTCTTCAATTTCTCTCTTCTTTCTCCTGTTTTCTCTCCATGTTTCTATTTGGCTGTGAAAAAGAAGCCCTGTGTTGAGAATAAAGTGCAAGCAGGCCGAGGATATACTCCAGTTATCGAACTGCAGAAGCCAGCGATAGCTGGGATTATTGAGGATGCTTTCCGCTGCAAAGATCACACAGCAAAAGGCTATTACCAGACGATACAAAATAAACAGTGTTGGAGTAAACCACTGAAAAATAACAAAGAAAGGAAAAATTGAGTGTTAGTCTATCGAAATAAAACTGATCCGGCCGTTAAAAATCGCTACAGAAATACCAGCGCGCTTCTTGTGTGAGCCGGTTCGCAGGCTAGGTGATTCATTAGCGCATTGAGAACTGAACAAGGAATTCAGGTGATACAAAAGCCGTAATAATCGAGGACAGTCAGTGAAAGATTCTAGTTCATTCAAGAACGAGCACTGAAGTGCACTTCTTAATTATTAGTTAGCAATTATTGAAGGAGGCTAACCATGACGTACAGAATTATAAAGATCGAGGAGAATATTATGGCCGAGATTAGCATAATTCTTCACATCGTACGAAAGCCGAGTTCAATAATTTTTTTATTATTCATTCAAAATATTTCTAAAGAGTTCATTCTTAACAAGCCTACCTCTTCGCAGACTTTCTTCAAACCTTTGGCCTTTTTCTAGGCACTATTTCAGGATATAAACATATGTTTTTCTTGCAGATGCTCCTCAAAAGTAGATAACATAAATCGAGCAATATGTTTTGCGTATTCTTGCATTTTTTCCGTTCAGTAAGAGTTTTAGTCATTATGTATAAGCAGGTGAAAAAGACGAAAACGCGAACCACTAGTCTGAAGGAATTTAGGTATTTACTTTTTTCCCATAGTTTTATCAGTTAGATGTTTACTATTACCAACAGTTTGTGTTTTCATGTTAATATGTTTTTTTTATCTGTGATGTTGTAGATGTCACATACTAGTCTTTAGGCTATTCTAAAATCCGAAGTTAAATTAAATTATGTCTGTATGTATCTTAAATAACAGCCTCCAGTATTTCGAGGTGGTTATACTTTAAAGTCGCTTTAGGTCTGTTCTGCGAAGTATCACATAAAAGACAAAAACTCAACGGCTTGTTCGTGAAAATGAGCACAGGAAGTTCTCCGTCTCAATCCATGTAAAGAAAGAACAGAAATATGCATCTATGTCATGGCTGATAGATTTTGCTCTCTAAATCAAAGCACTTGTAATGTTGGGATTGAACGCCATTCTTGTTCAAAAAAACAGTTTTCCTTTAATTTACTGTTTACTGTTGGAGGGTAAAATCACACAATGTTACGGCCTAACTATGAAACTTGGACAAGAACCAATGGCCATCATTAACCACCCGTTAGAAGGTAGCATACTTTGTACCAAGTAAATCCGCATCCATAATCCCTAAGTCGGCTAAAAACGTACAGTTTTTCAAGGTTATAAAGTTAATTTTCAGTTGCTTTGCAATGAAATACTGACCCAGAATCAAATTTTCATCCCGTTGCGGGGAAGTTTTCATGACCGTCACATAGATCAGTTTCGCTTGAAATGCTTTATCCCGATTTTTAAAATTCTTTCAAAGTACCTACCGGGGACTCTGAAAACAACTCAGGGCGTGGAAACCTTAACAAAAAGCTGTTTAGTTGACACTCTTCGTTGAAAACAGCTTCAAACCACTTCTTAGTGTCGTCCATGTTGTAGCAGAATCTGCGCGTACTTAGTTTTACAAGAATTCCTTAAGTTATGCGTTAAGCCTGCTCTGTTTTTGCATATTGCATTGGGGATTGTTTAAAGGATACTTGGCGGTCAATAGCAAATGGAAACGCTTCACTGAATCTTAGACAAAGAGAGAGGAAAAAAGGAAAGACTCAAAAGAGAACAGGGTTAGAAGTATAAATTCTTAAAATGGTGTGCGGTTTGTTCAGTCTGAGACTGACCAAGAAGTTAATGGGTATCCTGTCTTTCTCTACGTGTTGGCAGTAAAAAGCTAACAACTTACTTTAAAGTCCTTTCAAATTCTGATGAGCTTGAATGAGCATTCAATTAACATTGTTTTGCTTTTTTGCTCCCGCCCAAATTTGAGTTATGCAGATTACATTAAGAAAATGCTTCGTTCCTCACATTGACTTGGGCACTACTGAGAAACCTGATGTGATTATGGGTCGATGTTGTCAAGCGTTTGGCGAAGAATGTAGCATAAGAAATCTAGGAACAAGTTTTCATGACTCGAGAGCATTTACTGACTCGCCTGTAAGTATGAAAAATCATAGCGCAAGATAATCACGGTCAATCTTAGGAGGTGATTGGAGCAGGGTTTTTACGCACCACGTTCAACTTTCATTAACAGCTGTGACTCCCTATAAGCAAAATTAGCTTTTCTCGTTTCCTTCTGTCGAATCTTATCAATACTAACAAGTTTGTGCTAAGTTTGTCAAGAACTGAACTCACATCATAGAAGGAGAGGATTAAGAGGAAAGCGCGCAACGTTACTAATTTAGATAAATGTTTAATCGTTTAATAAATCAGCTCGCTTCAGGTGAACCGTTAATGTTGTTAGATCTTCTTGTACGTTTGTCAGAGGTTCTTGAGCATTATGCCAACGCGGGAGCGACAATGACTTATGTTTTTGGAATGTTGATAAACTTTGAGTAAAGAATGTGTTTTTGTGGGAATAAATTTTGGTCGGAGAGTTAAAGGATTTGCATAAATAATAATAATTAAGGCACGAACTTTAAACTGTTTTCGAGAAGCATAGTGCACGAGTTTCCGAAATGATAAATTTGCCTTTCCTTAAATAGTTTGAAGGTGTTGAAACTGTTTAATCTAAGTGAATATCGTCGCGGAGAAATGAGCGGTAATGATTCCTTTCAATATTAAGCACGCTTGGCTGATCCCACGGAATTGCAGTCATGATGTCGACTAATCCTTACCTTTAACTATGGTAGAAAAAATCATGATTTATACTTCTGCTAAAGAGCAAGCAATGGAAAAGATTCTAAGAGTTAGTTTTATCATATATCTGCCACTGAACATTCGTGAGTGTTACAAGCTTCCTTCCTTCCGGAAAGGTCGAAACGCAGACAGGAAAAAGTAGAAAACTAAAAATAACGTTGAATTAAGTCAGATTCGTTCTTTCTGTATATGAACAGAAACGAGGCGGTTTAGTCATTGGCATAACGGCCACCCACTTTAGAGTTCATACGAATTAGAATGCAGGTTATTGGAAGCAGTCTAGCAAATTTTCATGAGTAGTGTGCCTGCCTCACCAGCCTCATCATACAGTTTTTCCTTTCTTTCAGCGCGTTATGTTACAAATATGGCGTCAAACTTCTTCTTTTTTAGAAAAACAAATAAATAAATATGGGAAAATTTAATAACTGTTTCTTTATAATGAAACCACAGCTTCCAAGACCACTGTTTGCTGTGATCCGGTTCCTGTACGCTGCCCTAGCTGTGGCTGACCTGGTGTGGATTGGACTGGACCATCCAAGAGGAGAGTGGATCATTCACTTCGGCAACTGGAGCCGGGTGGTAACAGCTCTGTACTTCTTGCTTGGTTCAATCACTGCCTTCCAGCGCTCCTGCTGTGGATCTAAAGCAAGCGACCAGTATAACCGCATTGACGACGACAACAATCAGGAATACTCATTCCTTGATCCCTCAGGGTCCAGTTCTTGTGCTTTGAGACCGGGAGAAAAGGACGTCAGTATTACGACCAGAACAAACCGCCTATCTTGGCATCATGAAGTGTTATGGGTCCTGCACACTCTCGCTTCAAACAGCTCCTTCGCTTGCCTGATCGCCTATTTCACTTTCTTTTTCAAAGAGCGCTATACCTTCATTGGGGTGTTGGACTTTCCTCGCCACGTTCTCTATCTGATTCTGATGATCTTCGATACCTTGTCCAGTCACATTCCCGTAAGGCTGTGGCACCTCATGTACGCTTACATATTCGGTGCCAGCTACGTCGTTTTCACGATAATCTTCATTTTAACTGAAATCAAGGTCAACTTAGGTCTTGATCCTGCGGTGTACCCGTCGCTGGAGATTGGTGACCAGCCTCTGATCTATACAGCCTATCTATCAATATTTTTGATCGCTGGATTTCCTTTGGCACAAATATTATTCTTTCTCATCTATAAATTCAGAGCTAACCTTGGATCAAGCTGAAGTGCTGCTGTATTATTTAATATAATCCACGGGTATCTTACAAATACCAAGACATCTCTGACCAGTTGACAACTGATAATCAGGAATATAATGAATTTGAGAAGTCTGGGCTTTACAAGAAAGCCAGATTTTAATAAATAACCACAACTGTAAATACACTGCTGGTCAAAGCATATTCATTCGATGCCATGGTGTTTCCCATGTCTGTTTTCCAGATTTTTGGCCTGATTTTAGGCTTCCAAAAATGCTCCACAAGCTCGTTAACAAGATGTATAAATAATAAAAAAAGGTTACAGTGGTCAAAGTTTCTTTCTTTTTTCTTCCTCGACACCTATCATACCACAGATGGAAAAGCATACTGAGTGGAGCCTCCACTTTCACGAGAGCGAAGAACTCTACAATGTATCCTTAAAATAGCTGGTCTGTTAAAACACCGTGGCACAGGGTTGGTGGTATCATGGTAGCTCCCCGGACTCCCCCCCACGAGGGGGGGGGGGTTAACTCCTATATCAAAGAAACGGGGGTTCTTGTCGGAAATTTTGAATTAAATCCATTCTGGTGACCAGTCTGGGTGTGGTTTCAGGGTTTCTTTAACCTGCGATCAGACGTTTTCTTTTTTGTTTTCCTTTTTTTTTTTCAAGGGCGGACGAGGCGAGAGGAAAAAAAATCCCGTGAGAGACATAAAGGGATAATAGGGAGAGGGCATGATCTCAGGCTAGGGTTTCTTAGACCCCTAAAAGAGACCATACTAACGCAGGCAACGAATTGGGACGCCAGTTAAGAGCTATGGTGATTGAAAAATTGAAAGAAAGATGATGGTGGAATTGAAATCTGTCTTCGACAAGGCTGTGACGGCGTTGGGTTAGGGTTTTATTCCTATTGCTTTTTAGCATATTTCATCATGATGGCCGGTCACGTTTGAGAGAGTTCTTTCGTCTTTCGGAAGTGATCTGGCTCCAGTTATTCAAAAGGGGGATAACAGTATCCAGCGGAAAAATCTCAATCCTTTGGATAACGCAATTGGTTTTCGTAATAGTTATCCGATGGAAAGTGATTTATCCAGCGCTATCCAACTTTTGAACAGTCGGGGCCAGATGGGCGGCTGGGGAATCTTCTAAAGAAGGAACTTGCACCCCTCCACTCTAAATTAGAAAACATGCTAACAACTTTTAACGACGATAAAAAAACTTCCGTTTTTTCTTTCGGACAAGTACGAAAATCTCCTATCTCAAATCCAGCAATCTAATGAAAAACTTACACAGCGGAAAATAGAGTTGAGCAAGATAATCTTGCAAGTAAATACTAAAATCAAGAAAAAGTAAAAAAAAAAAAACGGGCTTAAGTATTTATTTCAAACAATTATGTACGCTGGGTCAAGTTTCCGTCTCGAAGGTCGGTTACTGCTACCCCAGGCACACAATACAACAGAAAGAAAATTTACAACAACATCAAGAAAATTAAGTTACTTTGTGGTTTTATTATTCACTATTTACTAAATGTACTTTTTCCCTAAATCTCATTGATAATGAGTCAAAGTTAATTATTTCTTACTTCGTGAATAAACCCACATATACAGGTTACCGCTACTTTATAATTCACAAAAATGATGCGCAAAAGAAAAAATATTGAACAACAATTGTACAAAGACACTGAAAACAGTTTTGCTATGAAGAATCTTCACTTAAAACTCTAAACTTTTTTATTCTTTGTTGGTACAATTTTTCTACACGAAAAAAATTTAAGAGAAATGCAACATTTTCTTATTTAACTATTTACCAAATAAAATGAAAATAATTCTGTGCAACAACGGTCTCAGGTAGACTTCATTGTACAGTCCAATAATTATCAACTGCAAAAATATGCCTGTTATTTTGTGTCAACGCAAAGTATTAACCACTATTCATTTACCAAGACAGTGTTACAAATTACATGTACAGAATCTCTTCATGCATAAAACAAAAATCAAGAAAGGTTTTCTTGATGTTAACGATACGAGTTCAATTACATGTACATGTACCACTTAAAGATGGAACAAAATGAATGGCACATTCGCATGACAGTCTATAAATATCGTTAACCCTGATCTCAGAAATACAGTAAGTCGGTGTCATTTCGCAGTTTACAATATAAAAACTCTATGTTTCTGTGTAGAAAGATCACTTTGACAATTCATTTGAGAGCCAGTCCAGTCCTTCATACAAGCCAGTTCCTTGGGTAGCGCATGAGGCTTGAACATACCACTAAAGGTGTAAGAAAAAAGTTAAACAAATGAGTTTAATTTTTTCTTCTTTTCCCTCTCACCATTCCTGACTGTTTAAGCAGTAGAGAAGTTTTTGACAAATAAATACTAAGAATAAGGTTTTGAAATAAAACTCCAAGGAAGAGTAGAATAACATATTTAATAATACTCTCGCCTGTTCAAGGCTCTGAGATAATCTGGTCCGTGAAATTGAGAGAGCATGAACACAAAAATAAAACGGTCGCCACTGCCCCCTTTTCCCAGATCACGCACTCATATTATGCTATCTGACAGCCTGGAACTGCACACAAAAGTGCTTTTTTCTGTAAAATACATGTTTATAGCAAACAGCAAATAGTAGAGCCAAAGGGTGTAATCACATAACCACTAATTTGACTTGTCCTAATTTCAGTCTGAAGAGAGGCTTATTCATAAGATGATATTCGTTTTCTGTTGCAGCTGGATTGATGGTGGCAATTCTCTCTGATGTGATAGATAAGGTGGTACTAGGAGAAGTTCTCACCTTTCTGTTTCTTAAGGAATGAAGTCCCAGTTTGTCTGTTATTTCACTGCAGCTGAAGGCATTTGGCAAATCGCTTTTGTTTGCAAACACCAGTAAAAGTGACTCCTGTAGTTCCTCTTCTTGAAGCTGTTAATAAAAGATTTTAATGGCAATAATTTAAAATCTCCATGACTGCATAATAGTTAATGAATTATGAAAGCACAACAATAAGAAAAGCAGCACAGTAATTTAATAAAGAGAGGAAAAGAAAAATCTACACAACTTGTGTATTTCTCCAGCTTGATGGACTGTTCACAGCCCCTCTATTTTTTTTTTCTGTAAGATTGTCGAGAATGAGTGCAACAGGTCGCCATCTCGACCAGGTCAAGCTTGAAGATGACAATCTCATCTACTTAGGGGGCAGGGGACACTAGAAACCTGACACCTGCCCCCTCGGTACATATGAAAACAGTTAAAAATGGCTGTCCATGACGGTGAGTGCTTGATCTCAATTATCTTATGGAAAAATAGGGAACCTGAACAATCTACATTGTACCAGATTGACATTATTTATAGGGTATGGAAGGCTGATGAAAAGCCAACCTTGAGGTTGCATTGCCTCACAGGATAAATTAAATAAAGGATAAAGAAGTCACCAATAATGTTATAGGTTCATTAATTCGTGGTTTGGTGCATTGATTTGAGCACTTTTTGCAGCTGTTAACGTCATAAGTAGGTTTCAAAACTGTGGTCAAAAGAAGCTTAACATTAAGTTGACAACTTAAAAGAAAGCATTATTGCTGGTCTTACCATTTTGCTCAGTTCATCTTTAGCTTCCTCTATTCTTTCTCTGTCATTGCTGTCTACAACAAATATTAAGCCCTGAAAAGGTAGAACAAAAATAAGAATAAAATATGAAATTAGACAGTCCTAGAGAAAGTGAAATACCAGCCATGTGCTAGCAAGTTGACCAACAAGTAACTTTTGAAGCGGGACACAGAAGCATATAGGAGCATTTTATGCATGGGTAAGGGCACTACATGTTAGTAATGACTTCCAACATGGAATTAACCTAAAGCAGCAACATCCCTTGTGACATTTAATGACAAAATGTGACAAGTGAAAACAACACATCATTACTGCTGAAAGATAACAATTTATTCTAAGTACAATAAGCCATTGTTGGGATATCACTACTAGTGATCTACAATGTATCTTAACAGCAAAGGGTTTTGATGTCCTACACTGCACCTGTTTCTAGCACAATTGTCAGATACCCTGTGAGAGTTTAACCACAAAACAGCAGCGTGTCACAAATTGGCACGTTATACACTGTACCTGTGTGTTTGTAAAGTAGTGTCTCCATAGAGGCCTGATTTTGTCTTGCCCACCAACATCCCACACAGTGAAGGAAATATTTTTGTATTCTACTGTCTCCACATTGAATCCTGTTGAAAACAATATCAATTTAAAGATTTGCTTTCTTTCCCTGTTCAACTTTATCAAAATAATCGATGTCAATTATTTCCCCTTTTCCCTTCATTGGGAGCAAAGTTTTCCTTCTATTAATCTCACACTGTGGATAACAGGTTTACATGTACCTCTTCTAGGAATACAACTTCATTCCCAAGGTCAATCTGCTTCAATGGGGATGAAATAAAGACAACCTACTATGACAAGGTTTCTACGAACATGTGTATCATTGTCCGCTATAAATTTAGGGTCCTTTGACACACCATAACTAGGAGATTTGTCCAACATAAGTGTTCGGTGTTCCTGTAGGGCACTCAGTTTTCTTATTTCTAAAGTATCACTTTTGTGCAGAAGGACTTCTGCTAGTTCATGTAATGCGCCGATCGATTCGAAACTTCAACGTCTCCCTGAGGCAACCCTTGAACTTTTTAGAAGCCTGTTCAAATTCTTATCATCATGAGCCTGTCATTTTGAGATCAGTGGGAAGGATGTGCCAAAGAAATTTAAAACTTTCAAGTAAAACCCCCTCATTTTGTTCACATGCAAATTTTTTTGGCAGAAGGTCTTGTAGTAATGTGTTCTTTCAGTTAACATAATAATAATTTTAAAGTAACTGGCACTTACATGTAAACATGTACTTGCATGTTTTAAAATGACATTAAATGATTTGAAAAGTCTGTCAGAACTTACCAATTGTAGGAATAGTAGTAACTATCTCTCCCAGTTTTAGCTTGTATAAAATAGTTGTTTTACCAGCTGCATCAAGGCCAACTGTAGTATGAACAAATCAAATCAATGGGATTTATAATTAGTACAGACTCAAACACAATTATATACCCTGTTTAGGACAGACATACATGAAATTATATACCCTGTTTAAAACAGAGAGGACAAAAACCATACCCTGTCCAGCGGCAAATCCCCGTATAGGCCATAAAAGCTAGTGCAACCCCTTTTTCTATGCCAGCAGATACCGTAAAAAAGTAGCCTGTGCTCACAGAGTACAACTTGGAACTTCAATATAACAAGCCCTTAATATAAAGAAGTCCTCGATATAATTAACGATAATTCCTCAAGCCTGAATGGGCTATTGACTCAGAGGCCATGAGGGCGAGAGAAATAATAATTGTTTTTGTAAAATCTAACTAGTTGGTCAAAAATATTGAGACAAAACAACTTTAGCTAGCAAAACATGATTCAGCCTCCATTGTTTTGGTTTTCAAAGCCGGCGCTTTTCGCTACTAGTGGGATATAACATATAGTTTGGTAGTAGCTCAACCAATCAGAATGCCTCATTGAAAATAGACCACTAGTTAGATTTTACTAACAAACAATATTCTCTGCCCCAGTTATAATAAAATGTATGGAAAAGAACCTCGATATAACGAAACCCTGTTTATGCGAACGTATTTGGCTGGTCCCTTAGCCCTTCATCATCAAATTGAAGTTCCACCGTAGCTAAAAGGTGAACCAGGAATCACATGTGTGAAACACTGGGTAAAATTGATGACAGGGTGGCTCTTTTCCATTTTTAACATGGATGAGGTACACTAAAATTCACTAAAGAGATGTAAATTTTAAGAATATCTCTAGGTTTTATGTTTTGTTTAATGACAGCAGGCTGGTAAAAAATCACTGAAGGTGACATTGTAATATTAAGCTTACTGGCCTCTATCATACTGACAAATAACCCAAAGGAACACGTTACTCTGTTTGAATGTTGTATGGTCTTAGTTATTTTAAAGGTAAATTATACATAAAAGGCTAGGCTATAAAGAGTAAAGGTATAAAACAAGAAAATAAATGCTAAACCTCGAACAACAGAGAAACGCGTCTTAAATTAAGAGGAAAATACTGTTCAAAAGACCGGCGTAAATATGACTGACGTATAATAACTCGAACGATGATCGATCGGGGCAAAGAATTCAGCATTTCTTACCCATTAATATCCTCATTGCTTTCTTTCCGAAAAGCCGAGCAAATACGGATGAAAGAGTGAGCCCCATGTTGCTATATAGAGGTTAAAGTCAGCGTAATTCCACGTCAAAATCTTCTTTATTTTCGCGTGGATGGATCACCGACAACGAGAACTCAGCCACGTCAAGACTTCTCGTGCGCTTGCGTAATTCTTTTCATTTCCGCCCTGACCCAGGGCCTCTGGGCCTCTGGACTGTGGAATGTTGAGATGGGATGTGTGAAAAGTAAGAGAGAATGTATGGGAGCAGAAGCATATGGCATTATGCTTCTGATGGGAGTTAATGGCCTCAAGGGAAAAGACATAGTTAAGGTGCAAAACCATGACAAAAAGTGTATAGGATCAAGCTTGCTCATCGTCGGATAAAAAAACGAATCGCGATCAGTCAAAATTTTAAATCTCGTTTCCTACTTGAGCCCGCGATTACAACAACAAATTTAAAATATGCGTTCAAGCGGAAATTTTGTCTGCGCAGTGAGGAGATTGGTTTAATATCTTCGAAAGGAGCAGGGGGAATGGCTCTGTGTAGTAATTTTTTGCGTATCTCAAGCAAGGTAAACCCGATATTTTAAACGCAACACAGAGTGTCTTGGATTAGCTAAAACTCATTTTTTTCCCGTCTCGTTTAAATAGGGTGCCCTTGCCAAGATTTGCTGGAATGCTTTTGGCACAACACCTCGCATGGCTGTCACAGTGAGTTCAAAGTTAACCTGTAGAAAGCACTTTACACTGATCTCACTCGTTTTTCTCTTTCTATATTAGATTTTGCGACTAAGCTTATTGGTTTTGGTTGTATTTTAGGTGAGAGCGAAGGGTTCAATATAGCTTCCTAATGAAGTCGATCCCTACATTGTAGCTAATAACATAGAGAAGCTTAGTGGGTTTTATAAACAGGGCAACAGTAATAGAGAGGCTGATCTCGAATGATTTCAAATTTTCTCGTTAGTCCATATTTTTTCATAATCCACTATTATGGGCTTTATTTACAAGGAAAACTATGAATTGTAATAGGCCATTCCAGTTGATTCCTTGCTCCTTGAGAGACAGGGAGATGTCTCCCCCCCCCTTAACCTTTTTGTGTCTTGATGGGAGCCGGGGGAGGGGTATGAAATGAAATGGCCTAATATGGATATTTTGCCATGGTTAGAAATGACTTTTAAATGAGGGAAGGGGGAGGGGGAGGGGGGTGGGGGGCAACACAGCTTATTCCCAAACTGTTCATGTCAGGTGTTTGTGTTGATTTTGATTTAATTTTTTTTGCTAAAAATATAAACCTGCACCATCACTACCTCATGTGCGGAAGACAGCTACCAGACCACTGGGCCACACACACTGTCACTGACTAATACATGTAAATATTAATCTAGTAAAATTATTACACTTAAGTCACTTTTCTCTGCCATACACACTGTTTGAGGGTTGTGGAGCTGTATATATCATGAATTCAAAGATATATTGCATACAAGAGAAAATTCGAGGAAGGTAAAGATGAAATATTTAATTCACACCTCAGGGCCCAGTTGTTTGAAAGGTGGATAATGCACTCTATCAAATGGGGAAATCTCTATCCAATGGATAACACAATATTATTATTAGTTTCCCTGATACTTACAGTATCTGCTGGATGATGATTTATCTAGTGGATAGTGCCATCCAAAGTTTGAACTACTGCGACCAAAAAAGTTTTTTCTAAGATGAAGAAAGGGCACGTGGGACATCGCAATAAAAAGTAGCAAGTGTATCAGAGGAGATCTTGATGTAAGTCACTAAACCACTATAGTACTGCAAAAATCAAAATTAAAGCTATTTTTACCTTTTCTAACAGATGACAGTTCGAGATGCTTTAAACTCTGCTATGGAAGAAGAGATTAAGAGGGATGAAAGAGTGTTCTTATTAGGTGAAGAGGTTGCTATGTATGATGGTGCATATAAGGTAAATTTTTGGCATATTTAATTTGTTAACAAGATAAGTGCCCAATTTGCCTCTCATTTTGTTCTGCATTTGTTTTTTTGCATGGTTGATTTATATGAGCTGTTTCCTTTTCAGGTGAGTCGAGGACTTTGGCTAAAGTATGGTGACAAGAGGATTGTGGACACACCCATCAGTGAGGTAAGTCAGTTATATTTTACAGGGTATGCATTGCTCTTACAATGTATGTGTTGTGGTTCAATTTTATGCTTGGTTCAAATTTTCTTTTCTTTTGTCTTTGGGTATGGTAATATATGATAATGAGTTTGAAACAAAAGAAAATAAAACTCAAACCAAGGATAGAATTGAACCACAACATATGCATAACTTGTAATAAAGTACCTCCTTCTAACTACTGTATGTATGCTCATTTCAGATGGGTTTTGCTGGAATTGCAGTGGGAGCTGCTATGGTGAGTTAATGCTTCTTGTTAAATGGTCTACCTGATAAAGAAGGCAGCTGACAATAATGCTAATAATTATATATTAGTAATAATGTTTTTTGTTTTTTCATGTTATGCTTCAGGCTGGCCTTAGACCTATCTGTGAATTCATGACCTTTAATTTTGCAATGCAGGCCATTGACCAGGTCAGAATTTAATGATAATTGTATGTAATTCCAATTTCAATACATTTGTTTATTCCGATATTAAAAAAATGAATGAATAGTAATTTGATTATTTATATTTATATTATTTTTAATCATTCAATATTAATAGGTTCCAGAAAGAGTGCTCAACAGTTGTTTTAGTGGTTGCAATGTGAATAATGTATTTGTCATGGGTCACAATTGATTTCAGGTTAATTTTGATTTAACCTAGGTTGATTCTCATTTCCTTTGTCTCCTAGCCCTAATTCATGAATAACAAAGACTAGGAGACAAAGGAGACTGAGAAACAACCTAGGTTAATACCTGAATGTTTTTTTGACCTATAACATATTTTGTCAAATACATTTAAAACTGTATTTGACAGTGGCTGCATGATAATAAATCTCTAAAGTCCAGTCTTTAAAATGATGTTTTATGAGTTGACATTTTTATGAAAAGTGTGGTCATACTAACAGACTTCCTTTGTGTTGCAGGTCATTAATTCTGCGGCAAAAACATTCTACATGTCTGCTGGTCAGGTAGAGTATAAGAAAAGAAATACTGTAATTAATCCTTTGTTAATTAAGCATTTTTTTAGGGGGGGGTGGTGGGGGGTTATTATTTTTTCCAGGCACTTAATGGAGGTTGTTAAAATATAAAGAGGAAGGGGAGGTGCTGTAAGCAAAGAAGGAGGAAGAACCATACTGGAGGTATGGTGCTCTAATTCAAGGGCTTCATGCAAAAATGTCCCTTGGTCCCATTGTTTTAGATGAGAGGAGGGAATGTTCCTAATGCAGATTTGTGTGTTATTCCACCTGTTGTACCCTATGTTTCCCCAAGTTAAAGCACCCTTCTCTAGATTAAGACTAAGCAGTAGTCAGATATCATAGATTAACACTGAATGTTTTAAGAGAAGTGTTTTCAGAATGCTTAGTTTCAAACATACAGAAATTCTTACTGTAAGTGCCGTAGTTACATTTAATCTTACAGTTATTTTAATGTTTGATTTGTACATTTGTACTGTATCAAATGAATTTAAAAAAAGATTATTATTTTCATTACAAATTGTACCATAAAGTACTTTGATCAATGAGTTAGTAATTTGTGATAATAATGTTATTTGATATAAGGAGGGGGGAGGGGGTGGGGAATGATGGTGGGGGCTTAATAACTGTTTTTCTCTTATACCTTCTTTAAGGGGTAGGTGACAGATGGAATCTTAGAGTTAGACTAACAATGTGTGTTTTATGCGGCTAAGTGAATTATCAGAGACATTTCTAATATAAATTTTGACGAACTTGTTGAGCTTTTTGCTCAAAGTCCTGTTAGCAATCAGTCCAGCGATTTAGGCTGCACAAGAATTATTATTTCTTGTGATGTTCAGTAAAAAATATTAAGCTAAATAATTCAACATTTAAAGTCAAACTTAAGAATGATACTCGATGTTTCAATGTTTCGAACATCATTATCAAGATTGAAAATCACTGAAAGTCAATATACATTGAAATGTTGAGTAACTTTCTTAAGTTTAATTTTTCTTATACAGTCTGTTATAGTTTTAAACAAGCAACTGACTATCTGATGATTCAACATTAAAATTGTAGTGTTCTTCTTCTATTGTTAATGCGTAGGTACCAGTCCCTATTGTATTCAGAGGTCCTAACGGTGCTGCAGCAGGGGTGGCTGCTCAGCATTCACAGTGTTATGCTGCTTGGTATGGTCACTGTCCTGGTCTAAAGGTTGGTAAAGACAAAATATGTTATCTCATGCATTAGTATTTACTAGTCTTGACAAAGCATACAGGTTCGTATTACATGTACAAGTCTCTGTTATCTCTACAGTATCAGTATGAAGATTTCATAGGGTTTGATAAAGATCCTGTCTTTGAGCTGTCTGGAACAAGTAGTTTTTCCTGTTAGGCATGCAGTTTTCTGTGGTCAGCTTACAATACGAAATGCAGTGTAGATATCTTTTGATCAAGAGCTTGAAAAGGTATTTTAGAAAATCTTTCAAATTTCTGAGCATTAATGATGATATTATTGCAATTTAGTTGTTCCTACACACTACACCCTATCTGTTATGTTTCTTTTTTATTAGTGTTAATTAACCCTAGTGTGCATCTGCAAAATTCAAATGAACAGTCACCTTGAAATGAGGCATTGAGGGGCAATTATTATGAACACAAAAGAATAACTAAATTTGCCACCATTTTGGAATGCTTGTACATGTATGTACACCTGTATTGGACTTGGTGCTGTCATGCAGCTATATCCAACATTAAGTTTTGGTTATTTATATGATGTGATCATTCATCTATTGTTTTATACTCTAGGTAGTGTCTCCATTTTCAGCGGAAGATGCAAAAGGTTTGCTCAAGTCAGCTGTCAGAGACTCTGATCCAGGTATAATACTCTTCTTTATTTGTGATATAGATTGGAATGTGAAACATTGGTAACGTTAATCAATCAAAAAATTGATTTGTTAAGCAATCAATCAATCAATCAATCAATCAATCAATCAATCAATCAATCAATTAAGCAGGCAATTGCTGTACTTTATTTTCATGGCACCCTTTGTGCATATTAAGCTCTTCAGCCCGTTCCTACTTGCACCTTGTATTTTGTCATGTGCTTGCTACTCAGGTTTACCAAATAATGACATCTTGAAGGCCAAAATTTATAAAGTTGACCTTAGCTAAGATATATCTCATTTTATTGTCCCATAACAATAGGCCATAAGAAACAATATATATCTCATTTTATTGTCCCATAACAATAGGCCATAAGAAACAATACTAACAGTAAGAGTTGTTATTTGGGATGCCTAATTTCTAAATCTATAGTCAGGCTTAAAAGTTTTAAAAGAAGCTGAACAGTATATAAAATATATATAATTATGTAGAAAAATTTGTACAGTGTCCTGTGACAATACCATGATAACTTCTTTTGTTAAAAACTTTTAATTCTAGAGGTTTTATCTGCAGTAAAGAGTTAAGGTCATTTGCTAAATGGCAGCTTTTCATGTGTCTTTTACAGTGGTTGTTCTAGAAAATGAGGTCATGTATGGTGCCCAATTTGAAATGTCTGAGGAAGCCATGAGTCCAGACTTTTTAATTCCTATTGGTAAAGCCAAGATTGAAAGACCAGGTGAGCAGGTTTTACTTCCTTGTCACTGGTGTCTGCCCAATAATTATATCCTTATTACCAAGCTCTAGTGTTGAATTATAATAGGACAGGTCTAAAGTACATTATTGATTGTTTGAATTTAAGGGATTTATGTTATAATCTGAGGGGTACGGGGAGTAACTTGGTACAAAATTAATGTAGTCCTTTTAACACTAAGTGGGTGCATAATTCCTTTTCATTTATCGCTTGCAAGCTGTGCAATAAGTTGCCATTATACACACGCTGTATATTAGAAACTCTGATAATCTTACAGCTGTATAGTCTAAAATGTGATCTGTCTGTTTGCCCCACACCCCAGGGGGCAGCAAGGCTAGAGAGACTCTGTCTTGCCTTGCTACCTGTTGTGGGGTAGGGCAAAGAGACAGATGACATTTTAGAATGACAATCTTAAAGTCTAAAATAAGCTCTACAAAAGTTCAATTTAGAATCTTCATAGTTGCTTTTAACTTGTAATTGTAACTAAGTTATTTTTTTTTACCACTACTATTTTTTTTATGTGAATATATACTTTTATGTAATACATTTTAGATATAAGATCTTTTGCAGTTATGGTTTTTGCTTAGGTTTTTACGGTGGTCTTGTATATCACATGCAATTTTGAACAAGTTTTATTGTAAGCTCCTACGTGTTGACCTGTGTAAATACAGTTCTTACTTTCTTGCTACTTACTAAGTTCATTTTAGAGAAGATCACTTACAATACATCAACAAAATAAAATGAAGGATTCAGCTCGGCTGACATCTTGAAATGGTAGTCACACTTTAAACTTTGAAGTACTAAGTTTCTGCAGCACATTGTTTTGGCTTGGAACATCAAAGCTAATTTACTATGCTGATGTACCATTCACATGCATGACTGTATCTGCCAACAACAAAGCCTCTTAAAATGGTGTCTCGCTTGATTATACCATATCCAGTTCTTGTGTTGATTTTATTTTTAATGTTTCCTTTCTCCTGTAGGAAACCATATCACCCTAGTTGCACATTCAAAATCTGTTCAACTTGCTCTAGATGCAGCAAAACAGTTAGAGGCTGAAGGAATTGACTGTGAGGTATAGTGTCGATGCAGTAACAATCAGTTTCATTTACAGTTCGTAAATATAAATGATATAAACGGTAGAAGTATTTTTTATACACTCAGTGCAACATGAAAAGCTTTGTGCTTCATGATGACTGAAATTTCTGCTGGGAACTAATTTTGCCACTTTTTTGTTCAAACAGCAGAACATTACAAGAAAGGAACTAATATTTTCAATTTTTGTTACATGTTGAGTTATGGTATACTCATTCACGCTGTAGTTTTGTCTGTGATAAAGACTATTTATCTGAGCTTCAGTCGTTGTTTTTTACTGAAATCAATGTTAGTGTTGTTTACATATATGTCCGATATATATCCCCCAGTCACCCAAGTTTATGTTAAAAAGCAGTTTCTTTAAAATTGTAGTGTAGGGAGAAAATATTTTGGCATCTTTTTCTCTTGGAATTTACACAAAATTAATTTATCTCTGCCGATCAGTGCAATCTGCAAAATTTGCGATAGTAAATAGTCGCAAAATTGTCATTCTGCGCGGTATCAAAAGGAGAACTACAAAAAGCTATCAAATGTGAGAACACAAAAAGAGAGACAGAAAACAAAGGTTTAGATGTGTGTTCTTAGCTAGCAATTTGTTATTTGTTATTTCGAACTATCAACTGTATCTTTTTTGGAGGTGTTGAGAACAATTGCATTGTTTAACCACGACAGAATCAGTTCAGTCGTTAGAGCACTTGACTGCGGAATGAAAGGTCGTGGGTTCGATTTTCTGGGCCAGACTAATACATTATACTCAAGGTCTTAAAATAAATGAGAAATGAAGGTAATGCTCCTCTCCTTAAAATGGCTAGAACTTCGCGTGGCTCAGATCACCGCATAAAATGGCGGTCCCTTCTCTTGTAGGAGGCGTAAAAATAGTGTCCCCAATTAGCACTTTCATCGGCTAAATACATTGACATTTAAGTAAAGCGCATTTCGTGATACATCAGTATGAAAAATTGTAACCATTCATGTTGTTTATGTACAGGTGGTTAACCTCCGTACCATCCGTCCAATGGACACAGAGTGCATTGAAAACTCGGTCAAGAAAACAAATCATCTTATCACCATTGAAGGAGGCTGGCCTCACTTTGGTGTAGGAGCTGAAATTGCAGCTTCTATATTGGAAGGTTAGTTTTCCAAGAAGCGCCCCTAGCACTCTCACATTTCTTCTTTTTGTGCGTGACATATTTACAAGGCAGCAGAATTGAAAATTCACCTTCACTGTATGATAGTTATAGTCCCAAGCTTTCCGAGATAGTCGGGTCTGTTGGGAACATAAAATGGGAGGAAACTTTTCCGAACTTAAGTACTGATACTTTCGCGAGCCTTTCACGGACGTGTCATCCCTACTATCTGAGATCTTTGAACAGGTTACCTTAGGCTACAAGGAGAGAGGGTGACAGTTACCCTAGCAAGAGGATTACCTTAGCACTCGCACATTTTTTACATGACATGTTTACAAGGCAGTTAGGGTTACCCTAGCACTAGGGTAACCATACCTGCCTTGTGAACACTCTGCTAGGGATAACTCGCTTACTCAGGACAACTTTCCTCTGTCATGCGTAACCAGTAGTCTTGACAATTTGAGTTGCGAGAGCCCCTTTTCTCCTCTCACCATTCCTCTCTCCTTTTCCCCTTTAATCTTTTGAACTAAGTGTCGCAGCAGCATAGAGAACATTGAAATTCTTGTCATGACCTCTTGCAATTTTGTGCAGATTCTAGTTTTATTTCTTCCCGGCGTCTTTCACCATATCATCAATACTACTCTTGCCTAGTTCCTCCTCTCTTTCCTCTCTGTTTCGGCTGTGTAATGCTTATCCGGATTTTGAACTCGGTACTAAGACAGATGGGGCACTTAAATCACTGCTTTATCGGGAGCCTTGAACTTTTATTTCGGTTATTATTCTCGTTAGTTTTTAGCCCCGTGCAAACGGACGCTACATTGTTGGCCAACAACTCCCAACATTGTTGGATATACATTTTGAGTCCGTTTGCACACCCTGTTGCATGTTGTTGAGTGTTGTTGGGTGTTGTTGCGCAAGGTTTGAAACCGATCAAACTTTTAGCCACGTGCAAACGGACGCAACAACTCCCATCATTGTGGGCCAATAATTTTGGCAGCTGTTGCGTCTGTTCGCACGTAGTCTGACAGAAATGTGCTCTGTTCACTGTTGATCGTTTTTATTCCAGGTGAGGCATTTGACTACCTTGATGCTCCCATATTCCGAGTGACCGGCGCAGATATCCCAATGCCTTATGCGCATCTGCTAGAAACAAATTCTGTTCCTCAAGTGGAAAACATTGTCCTT